TTGATCCAGAAATAATCAATAACCGAATGAGTGCGATAATAACTAATAATAACGTACATAATAATAAATAATAATAATAAATAAATTGTTTGTTTATGTAGAAAACAAAGTAGTCTGTCTGTATATATACAACAAACAAAAATTACGCTAGTACTAAAGTGTATGATTATTAAGTAAATACGGTCGTCGCATAATAAAAATCACATTTGGTCAATGAATGAATGTGCCGTTGCAAAGTTTTTATTCCATTCGCGATTAGTCATTTTTTTAGATTGTGATTTTTTGATTGTGATCTTTCTTCCCTTTAGGCGAGTTAGTTATTTTTTTGATTGATATATAAACTGTTTGTATTTATCGATCGAGCAAAATTCTTTTTCAATTCAACAACTCTCTTTTTGATAAACGATAAATAAAAAATAACCATCGACGAAAATATGTTTGCTGCCGGAAGGCCGAATAAGGTTATACGAACCGCGTCAAGGACAATTGGGCAGTTCCTCCGAAGATACCCTACTCTTTTTTTAAGAACTTTGGCTACCAAACTAACTAAATTTGAAGTAAATATTTACTATACTACAATTAAACGACATTTTGATAGAATTAGTTATAAAAATTCATTACCAATTGGAACGCCGATGCTTACCGCATCCCACAAGGCTAATCGTGTAGAATGGGCCAAAAAACATTTAAATGACAATTGGAACAAAACTATTTTTACAGACGAGTCAGCATTTCAATTATTTAGGAATACAATTATAAAATGGTATAAATGTCCAAGACCAATTAGGCCACTCCCTAAAATAGACAAAAAATCTTTCCATGGGCTGGATTTTGTAGCAAAGGAAAAACAAGTCTATTTTGTTTTACACAAACAATGGATGCCAATTTTTATATTGAACTCGTTGGAAACCATCTCTCTGAAGTCAATAATATGCTTGGGAAACGTTGGAGATTTCAACAAGATAATGATCCCAAGCATACAAGTCGTATCGCAAAGGAATTTCTTGGCAAAAATGTTCCTGAGGTCATCGATTGGCCATCTAACTGTCCTGGCCTCAAACCCAATCGAAAATTTGTGGGCTATTGTAAAAAAGAATGTAGAAAAACGTATGCCAAAAAATATTGATGATTTGAAACAATTTTTAGTCAAAGAATGGGATTTAATTCCAGATAGCTTGTTAATTAATCTTGTTAATTAGATGTACTCTTGTGATTGAAAACAATGGAGAAAGAATCTTTTATTAATTTTATTTAAATAAAATCATATTGTTTCTAGCTTTTAAGTAAAAAAAAAAAAAATAGAATTGTTACATTCGTTATTAAATAATAACGTGTTTTTCCGAGAATCAAAAATCAATGATGTCCATTAATTTTATTAAAATTTCTTTTTTTTAGCAAATATATTTGCGTAACAACATTGGTATTAATAGTGATTCATTCTTTAGACATAAAATTATTTACGATATACGAATCTTGATAATGATGGTAAAGAATAATAATAATAACCACAAACCTCCAGAAAAAATCACACAAAAATAATTTATATTGTTTAATTAGACGTTAAAGTAAAATTTTTTTTATGTAATAGTCTAAATCGCTATAAAAGCGCCTGAAAATAAACCAAACCAATATTTAAAAAATTTACTAAGATTGATAATGAAATAATAATAATAATGCATTTTTATCTTTCCAGGTATATTCAATTAAGGATTCTCTACCCATCTAAATAAACATTTAATTTATTTTTTATTATTTAGATGGGTTCTTGTGAGTTCTTCAATGGATTCTCAAAGACCTACCTATATGAATTGTTTGATTATTTTTTTTTTATTAAGCAAGTTTTGAGGGGTTTTATTTTAAAATAATAATGCAAAAAAAAACACATCGATCGTTACTGTATTTGATATTTCCAAATTTGGTATATTCCCTGTTACTAATAATTTTAAATTTTTTTTTATTAATTAATTTTTATTTATTATGCTTATTTTAAAACGTATTTTAAAATATTTATATGGTATTTTTTACACATGGTCGTCACGTTAAACTAAATATTTATTATAGTTTTGAACTTTATATAATCTGATTAATTTTTTATATATAAAAAGAGATGAAATTTTGCAATTTTGAAAATTTTTTTTTTATTTTTTTAAGAAATAAAAAAATCATCTTTAACAATCTTGTATGTCCTATAAAAAAAAAAAATAATATTATTAATAATATCAATATCAACATTAGACACTGAATTTTCATTATTAATATTAATTCATTAATAATAATAATAATAATAATAATTACAAACAACAACATCAATAACAACAACAATAATAATAATAGCATCAATTTATTGTAAAGATTTTTTTATAAAGCTAAAAAAAATTTCAACAAATTCATTAAAATTAATAATATATTAATAATATATATTTAATCATCACAATCACAACGAATAAATCAGTAACAACGTTACCAAAAACATTCAACAATATGGTAGCCAACGAATCAATCAAATCAATCCAATCCTCATCTCTGGACGATTTGGCCAACGCTCTAATGACCAATCTGGATAGAAATAAAATATTCCCTCCATTCTATAACGATCCCGAAGAATTAATAAACCCTTCGAAAATAAAAACTACCGGTCCACCCAGACCCCCAAATGGATTTCTGTTGTGTCGCAAAAATGTTCACAAACAAGCAAAAGAACGTGGTATATGTAACATGAGAGCCATAAGTAAGGTCACCGGCATTCTATGGAGAACTGCTTCGACTGACGAGAAAGAACAATATGAAAAACTAGCTATCGAGGTGCAAAATTTACATTCTAAGAGATATCCTGGTTACAAATATAAACCAACCGCAAGAAATAATAATGGTAATAATAATAATAATAATAATAATAATAATAATAATAATAATAATCACGGTAATCATCATCATCATCATCATCATCATAAGAATAACAATAATTATAATAATCATAACAATGCTAATATTACTCAAATTCCAACTCCAATTACAACTCCAATCTCAACTCCAGCTACAACCAACGTAATCCATCATCATAACATTTCTAATAACAACCTTATCAATCATAAAACTGCAAAGAAATCTTTGAATTTATATCACAATCACCATCACCATCAACCATATTATATTCCACAACCTATGTTTGTCTCTAATCCTATAATGCCTCAACAACCAATCATAAACGGTTACGAAATACCGGAGTTTACCCAAGAAGATTTTCAAATGTTGTCTTTATTTTTGTAATGTGTATATATATACTACCGATGACGTTTGATTATCATACTATTTGATGACATAGATAATAATAAATGAACACGATATAGATAACGAACAAGTAATGTATATGACAATATATATATAGACGACGATGATTACGATTTTATTTATTTTTGATAATTACATTAATAAAAATTATTTTTTTGTATTTTTAATTCTACTACTACGACGAACTACAGCAGTGTTATCTTTAATAGTCCTGGGTCTAAAGAAAATATGGAAATTTTGTTAATAATATTAATAAATGAATGCATTATTACTATTACAGTAAGTCATTAATAATTACTTTTTATTTTTTTTTATCAACTTCAGGTTCCTCTTCCTCTTCCTCTTCATTTTTACCTTTGTTAAAATACTGATGGCTTTTATCAGTGAAATATTCAATTACTAGAAAAAATACAACATTATTAATCAATTGATGACAAAACAACCAACTTTTTTCATAAAAATCTACTTACAGTCTATCCCTGAATGAATCTTTTCATCAAGAATGTTTATATTATGATTATTTAATTTTTCCATAAAAGTTCCTGTGGATAATTCAATGGAAGTAATTATTATTAATTAATTTTTTTTAAAAATTTAAAAGTTATTTAAACAATACTAACTTGCTCGGCTATCAGAATAGATGGAATGACTATTAAAATCATTTAATTTATAAGCAACTAATACAGTCTGTGGCTTGTATCCTGATAGAGTGGTTGGATCATTGGATATTAATACAGCCGTCCCCTCATTTAAGTCATCATACTTGTAGACACCACTTTGATTGTTAAAGCTTCGAATTACTTCACTGTAGAAATGCTGTCCACTTGATGATGTGCTGTATACACGTGCTGTCAATGTATATTCTATAGTGATCTCATTTTCTTGATAACAAAGCTGAAAAGGGAAATCCAATTGTTCTGATGAGTGATAATTAGCACCATCTCTTTGGGTTATTTCAAATATCAAGGTATATGGCAAAGAAATTATGTATTCTTCGTAGAATATTTTTC